ATTATACACACAAAACATCTTTCACAAATAGTAAATATACGAACAGTACAATGCTTTCTAAGTATATCTGGGAAATTAAAAACAAAACGCACATCACACCAAAAATATCTTGGAAAATAAGGAAAAGATCATCAGCCTACAACAACCAATCAAAAAATTGCAAACTTTGCTTGGAGGAAAAAATAGCTATCATTACTTTCCCAGACCAAAATAAATTATTAAATAAAAGATCCGAGCTCATCTCAAAATGCAGACATGAAAACAAATTTTTACTACGTTACATAAAAATTGAAAACGGAAAAAATAAAATAAAAAGAAATAAACAAAATAACAATAAAATAAGCAAAATTAATTAATCCAAAGAAATTACCAAATCACACCTGTTAGAATAGATGAAATAGAATAATAATAATAACAAAAAAAAAAAAACAATGAACCCAAATAAATAAAGTAAATAATAAACAAAGTAGCAAACCATTATGACCAAAATGTTAGTTAGACTAAAAATTCAAACCAAAAAATCGGACGAAAAAATAGCTATAACTGTTATATAACAATAAAAAAAATAAAATAAAAATAAATAAAAAAATAAATACTACGTTACTTAAAAATCAAAAAATGAAAAGAGAAAATATACAAGTAAAATAAATTGACCTAAATTCGTCCAAGTAAATAAATAAACAAACCAATCCTGATAAAGTTACCGTTAGAAAAAACAAATAAAGATAATCAACCCAAATAAACACAAATTAAAAACTGTTCCTGCCAAAATAATAGAATAAACTACAACAATCAAACCCAAAACCGAACAAATAGCTTTAATTAAATTCTCAAACCAAAACAAAACTATTAAATAAGTGATAAAACAAATTTTTACTACGTTAATAAAAACACTGATTAAAAAAAAAAAATAAAATAAAATAAGAAAATAAAAATAAATAAAAACAAGCAAAATAATTTAACCCAAATAAATAAATGACTTCCGGTAAAATAACTACCATAATAGACTACCCACAATGCACCACTGACCCGTATATATATATATATATATATATATATATATATATAGCCGAGAAAAATAACAGCACACATGGCCTGACGATTGCATATAGCATGAAACAGACTGTCGCCTCTAAGTGTTGACTTCTATGTTCACTTTATATTTACACACGCTCTATCTCTGATATTGAGCACTTTATCCCATAAATATAGCACACCTTAAGACTATATTTCTTCATATATATATATATATATTAAACAGGTATGTCTACTCAAACATATAACTAGTAATAAAAAAATAATGTTGGCTTAAAAAAAAATTCATTAATTGTTGAAAAAAAGGGAAAAAATAAATCTACAATAATGGTAACAACCAATCCAAAATTGCCTTTCAGACTGCCATAAATATGTTAAAAAGCTCAATGACCAATGTAAACAGTTTACTATTTAGTAAAAATTAAAAAACAGCAAATGAAACCTGTTGGAAAGTTGCAAGTAAGTGTTTCAATCTTGTATCAATCTTCATGTGTTATTTTACAACATATTGACATTTCTATTTTTGTCAGTTATAAGTAATCATTATCCAAATGCACATCCTTTATTCACCAAATTGCCAATCAAGAGCTTAAATAATGTTAAGGAATTGTTAGTTGCTATTAAAATGACAATATATCACTATTTTTTTGTATGTGTGACAATATTGTTGTAAATAACAACTGAAGATCACTGGTGTGAAACTATTTTTGTTAGTCATAATTTCATAATGGTTTTATGCGCTTAGTTTTACTAATGTGTGTGTATACAATGAAAGGTTACAGAAAAGCTGTTAACCCAGCCTAATCTGGCTGAATGTAAGTGTTATTTATTTTATATTTATCTAGCTTCTTAGTTGAGAACTTGTGTGTACATAAAAATTAGGTATAATAGAATATCCTTGTCTTGGCTGAATATGCCGTTCATGGCTTGCTTGCTTAATCTTATCAGCCACGACACAAATGAACAGCTCGTGAACACACACCCACTCCGCGATGCATTTTCTTGTTATTACAATAAAGGCAGTTTAGTCAAATCCCAGATTGTCCAGTTCATAATATAACACTTGAATGAGTTAAAAAAAAAAAAACAAAAAAAAACTTGAATCTTTTTTTTTGTTTGTTTGTCTGAATTTCTGTGATAAGGAATTCTTATTCAAGCTGTTCACATGAAGACTATTGTCCTCATTTTTGTTGCTGTTATTACAATTTTTCGATTGGTATACCTTGCAGTCTTCATCAGTTGTATATCAAATCTGTATAACCTTCAGGGAATTCTGAACTAAACCCTTTATTTAATCTACGAAGGTAGGCTGTTCTCGATCCCCTGTCCATGTCTCGGGATATCTTGTCTAGTTCCTATTTTTTAGTACACTCTGCCCAGCTCAGAGATTGAACTTGTATATACTATGTCACTAAATTAATCAACCAGAAATTTATCCACTAAGCTATTATCCTACAGGATTGGGCTGGGCAGCATGTACCTGGATTTGGTAGAAAAAGGGCAAATAATAACTGAGCAGTACAAAAATTAGGTGAGATATTCCAAGACATGGGTAGTGGAATGATAACAGTCTTCCTCTGTAGGTTACCTGGATTGACATACATCTGATAATGCATACTGAAGGGTACAATGGCTGAAACCTTGTAATAACAACAACAAGGATAAGGACAATAATGTGCATATGAATAGTAAAAAAGAAAATTGAGTCAATGTGTAATTTTGCATTTTTGTTTATTTCTCAAAAATGTGCTTTAATTTAATTACCCATGTATTTTTTGATGTCTGTTCATTGATGAAAGACAAGACTGTTGACTTAATAAATAAGCATAAGTGATAGAATAAAGACTGTTGTCTTGATCAGACAACAATTGAATTTCCATATATTTACCTTGATCTACCTTTAGGGTTTGTTTGATGAGAGTTCAGTTTGGGGTGGAATATATGCACAGAAGTTGATCCAAAAATTCGGGTTTTGTGTTGTTGTTTATTTCTCACCTTTTTTAGTTCCATATTGAATTAAGCCCCCCCCCTTTTACTCACTTAACCTTTCTCTCTTTGTGGATAAATTCAAATTATAATTCTGTTTGTTCTTTGTTAGTAGTTCAGCATGTGTATTAAGTCCTGCCATTGTCCAGATAAATAATAGACCATTCTATTTTGATTGCAAGGAATGGTGGGAGAAAAATTATATCAGAGATGCTGTTTGGTTTTAGTGAGAAAAAAGAAAGCAAGCATGGAACAGAAAGGGGAAGTGATAAGACTCATGTTTTAAATGTCTGATTCTGTGAAGTAGAAAACCATGTCAATTTTGAATCTCTTCATTTTGGAATTCTCTACCTATGTCTGTACTTATGATTGATATTGCAATATTTTAAAAATTAAGCTCAAATTTTGTAGGACTTTGAACAATTAAATTAAGAATTATAATTCATCAGAAAATTCAAATAGGAAAACAAATTTTTGCAATTAAAAATTTATTCAAAGAAGAATTAAAATTGACAGGATTATTAATTTAGGCTCAGCACTTCTGCCTTGAATTGTTTTATGTGTTGTATCCTTTCAGGATGTGAGCGATTGTGGCTCACCACAACTTCCTATCCTTTGTAGTTCTAAGCAATATTATTCCCTTTATTATCCCTCCCAGTCTCTGTTGTACCATTTATTGACACAATCTCATTAGATAGGTTTTTCCCTTTACCCCTTGATATGTCCTTTGAGTGTCAAGTTCTCCAAGGCCTCTTTCTTTATTGCATCTCAGAAATTTCAACTGTTTCTCATTTTAATAAAATTGTCTTTTTTGATTCCATTTTTTTAAAATTTGAGTACAGGTTGATTGTCACTAACCCAGCATGATTGGGGTGCTGGGTAAGTGATTTTTATCTGGTTACATTAGGATACACTTAACCTAACAGCTAACCAGTTCATCCTAACTTTTAAAATATACTGTAAATCAAGTCTACCTTATTTGTTATGACCAATGTATAGTGTTTGCACTTCAAATTATGAGAAGCATTTCCTGTATTCATGATTGGGACTACACTTCAGATTATAATAGAAATATACAAAGGATAATTTAAAGTGTTTCAACAGTACATTATTTACATTAGTTGGACTATTATCCTCATCTTTGTATGCCATTGTATGCTCCGGCCTTCTTCAAGTGGTTGCAATGTTGAACTGGACCCTTTATTTCGCTCACTGGGGTAGACTGTTCTAGTTCCACGTGCCATGTTTAATGGATGTCGGTTATCAGTTATCTCCTGTTAATTTCCCTCTGAAAGTTCTCCATTGCCTTAACCGATTATTGAACTCACACTCTTTGGATCCTGTCACTGGATCTAACAATTCCTTTATCCACTGTGTCATGTGTCCCTGAGGAAGAAGGCCGGAGCATACAATGGCTGAAACGTAATAAATATGGCGACAAAGATGAGGACAATAGTCTGAATAATGTAAATAGTGTACATAATACCTCATCTCAGACATATAGACAGATACTGAAGGGCCGAAACGTGATAAATATGGCGACAAAGATGAGGACAATAGTCCGAATAATGTAAATAATACCTCATCTCAGAAATATAGACAGATGTCTGAACAGTGTTTGAAAATGGTTAAAAGCAGCTGATGCAACTAAACAGAAGTGGTCTGTACAGTAACCTGGTGAAAACTAAAGTTGCTCTTGGTATAAATTAGTGCCAAATTGGTGATGGTCATACTGTATTTATGTTCTCTGTGAAAGTCTTTCACACACACACACACACATTGCAATTAATATATGAATTTTCCTGAGATTATAATTCACACTTAATCTTATTTACCTTTTACACAATAACTTTTTCAATATTTTCTCTCTCTCAAACACAATTTACACTGGCTCAATACAAATGATTCTTTTGCCAATCTGTATCTCTGTGAACCTATTTTTAATTTGATTAAAATTAATGTTGTCTTTCTATTTTTAGGCTTTGGTCCATTTGGTGTCCACAAGGTAAATGCCAGCTGGGTGGTTGTACAGCATTTTGCTAAACTTGGCCTTGGCGATGATGTCCGGCTTGTGGTGAGGGAAATTCCTGTTGCATATGAAAGTGTCAGGACTGTCATACCATCCCTCTGGTCTGAATTTGATCCTGTCGTAAGTAATGTTTATTTTTGGAATAAGTTTAACAAAGTTGAAATTAAGTTGTTTACATGTTCATCAAGTGTGGTCATTAACCAATGGGCAGTCATTTTGTTTTTATAATTTTTGCATAGGTCTCTAGTTATTTTTGAAAATGTCATGAATTGTTTATTGGATAAAGCAAGAATTTAAAATGTGTGATCAATAGTTGGTTTATAAAATCAACCATGCTTAGTTTTTTTTTTTTGTATCTGTCTATATTTCTGAGATGAGTTATTATATACACTATTTACATTATTCGGACTATTGTCCTCATCTTTGTTGCCATATTTATTACAACATTTCAGCCGTTGTGCGCTCTGGCCTTCTTCAGGTGGTTGGAATGTTGAGCTGAACCCTTTATTTCGCTCACTAGGGTAGATTGTTCTAGTTCCATGTGTTTGTTTTTTTTTTCTTTTTTGTATATTTTAATTTATTTTTTTGTGTTCATCACCATTGGCCCCATGGCCAGGTGTGGTCATAGGATTGTTGTATAACTGAGCACCTAACCAGTTCCCTCACATACCTGGTTTCAAAACAGGAGGAATATTCATTCATGCATAACATGTCTTGGGTAAGTAAACCTGGTGGAGCCATCCCTCTCCAAATCATACGACAGATGATGTCCTCTGACTTGGTCATCACAGGCATTTAGCCATTTACAGAAAATAGCGCCTATGGCAAATATTGAAATTAAGCCCCTATCTAATCATCTGACAGCCATTTTAGATTTTTTTAATATAACTTTGACATAAAATCAGCTCTAAAATACAAGAAAATTAATTTTTTAATTAACAAATTATAAGCATTACCTGAAAATTACATTTGCACCTTCCTTGTTTAACCAGGTATTGAACTCATACTGTTTGGGTCCTGTGAGTTCAATACCTGGTTAAGGCTGTGGAGAACTTGGAGAGGAGAATTAACAGGAAATAACTGACATCCAATAAATATGGCACTTGGAACTAGAACAGTCTACCCCAGTGATCGAAATAAAGGATTCAGTTCAACATTCCAACCAACTGAAGAAGGCTGGAGCATACAATGGCCAAAATGTTGTAATAAATATGACAACAAAGATGAGGACAATAGTCTGAATAATGTAAATAGTGTACATAATACCTCATCTCAGAAGTATAGACAGATACTGAAAGGCTGAAGCATTGTAATAAATATGGTGACAAAGATGATGACAATAGTCCAAATAATGTAAATAGTGTACATAATACCTCATCTCAGAAATATAGACAGATACTGAAAGGCCAAAACGTTGTAATAAATATGGCGACAAAGATGAGGACAATAGTCCAAATAATGTAAATAGTGTACATAATACCTCATCTCAGAAGTATAGACAGATACATAAGTATTCGTTTTAACTTGCTAAATGGTTAGCATTATTTGAATAGCAATACAAATATTGGGGAAGACACTCTTGTCTCCATACAAAAGAATAAATTTAAGAAGCTCTTCAGGTCTTCATATTTTCATGTTGGCTTGACTTGAGGGCAACATTCTGCAATCCAAAATTTCTTCATAGAGCTGCTGTTCATAAACATCAGAGCTGTACAATTTGCCCAAACTTTTGCACTTTAGGTTGTTACTGTTGGCACTGTAACATAGTCCCTCAATATTAGAAAAATACCCAAAATTGGCATCAATGTCATGCAAACAAATGAACCTTTCATCTATTCCTCTGTGGAGACAGTCAAGTGTTCACTTCATGACTCTTCATTTCCTCCTTGTCTATTAATCCAGCATCTCTTGAGTTCTCATCAACCATTTGTTTGTTTTTGTTTCTGACATTTTTCAACTTAAATATTCCATTCCTGAGAGTGGCTGATTCCTTCTTCAAGAGAGTCACTGACCAACACTTTTCTTTCATCATCAAAATGATCTTTGAGGGCTTTCAAGTTTAGGGCAGCATCAAGAAAGTTCATGTTAGGATCCTGCAGTTACTTATGAATATACTTATAAATGAGTACTTTCTTTCACTTGTCTTGTTTTCATTGTCTATCATCACCTGGAGAACTTCACATATCTCCTCAAGGTACTTGTTGATACGTTCCATTGCTTGGGTCCTTGCACACCATCTGGTTTTGGTCACTGACTTAACAACCACTGGCAAAGGTTTTTTGAGTTTCTACCATTGTTGTGTTAAACAAGAGAACTTGTTTTTTAATCATTTCACTCCAAGCAAGGCAATAAAGCCACTAGGATGCAAGAGGTTACAGAGTTTTAGAGAATGTGAGAAAACCTACAATTTAAGACAAAGAACAAGAATTAAGAAGACAAAAGACAATGATTGACATTGCACTTAAATTTTTGAAGACCAAAGTTGACTGGGAAGCAAGAAACCAGAAAAGAGTTCCACAAGCAAGAGGTGTGAGAGAAGAAACTGTTAGCATAGAACTTATGATTTCATCTAGCTATTTCAACTGTAAAATGGTGAGACCTTGCTGCCATCTAGTACTTCACTTAAATTCATAAAGTCTGGGTACCATAGCAGAAAGTTCATCAGAACGCAGAGAGCTTTGATGGCTCCAAAAAATGTGATCCTGATTGTATCCTGCTTGGTTGCATGTGCACCCACCAAGTGGAGGAAGTGATTGTTGCAATTCACAAACCCTGCCAAGTTGTTTTTTTTCTCACTTATTCTTTGATTAACACCATTTCTTTGTTGGGCCATCACAGCAGAATTATCACAGCAACTGCGGCTGTGACAATCTTGTCGGACCATTTTGTTCTTCTTTAGCCATTTTAAGATGTCGTAAACCAAGCTCTTAGTATTCTTCTGGCTTATCTGGATAAAATCAAGAAAGGTCTCTCTGACATGAACTGTTTTCCTCTCAAAATCAACTTCCATGTCACTCATTACTTCTGACATCTGCTCACAGTGTGCATGCCCGATCAGGAGTCAAGTCAAACATGAGACTGTAATACTTGGCTTTGTGAATGCTTCTCAGTAAACTCTGGCAAACAGTGGGTGCCATCATGTAGATAACTCATTCTAGACACCTGATAAAAGATAAGATGTGGATCTAGGATGTCTTCCCACATGAGTGATGTGTTCTTTCATGAGATGATCAAAGATGGTAGGTAGTTTCAGTAAGCTAAGGAAATTTCTCACATTGAAGTCATCGTCCAACTGAAGTCACTCTTTATGTCTTCTTGAAGCCAGGTTCTGAGTCACAAAGAATTTTATGCAGTGATGAATTCTCTTCATGATATCACTCCACTTTTGCTCTTCTTTTTCAATCTGTGTTGAAGTTCCGTGTCAATAATTTATTTGTTTTCAGCTAAATTTCTTTCTTCTGTGTGAAGCATTCCCAGGGATTCTTAGCATTTTCATGAATACTAATCCTTTCAGTTGCTTTTTATTGGTTGAGTTCACTTTTCTGCTCCAATGAAGATTGATGGCCTGACTAGGAATAGAGGAGACAACACATAAAAAATATAAACTTTTTAGAAAGGGAATAGACTAGCCATAAGCAAGTCACATCCTCAAAGTTCTCATTTCCCAATTTACTCTTGAACCAAATTTTGTTCATTGAGAATTTGTTGGTATGAAAGGCACCTCACTGTTCTGGAAATAGCTTAAACCCAGTTTTACTATTTCTATTTTCAACACATCAGGCCGAATTCCTTTTCCTGTATCCCTGTTGAACTTCAAAATTTCAATGTCATGTTATTCAATCAATCACTTCCTGTATGTTATTCAATCAATCAATCAATCACTTCCTATATGTTATTCAATCAATCAATCAATCACTTCCTGTATGTTATTCAATCAATCAATCACTTCCTGTATGTTATTCAATCAATCACTTCCTGTATGTTATTCAATCAATCAATCACTTCCTGTATGTTATTCAATCAATCAATCACTTCCTGTATGTTATTCAATCAATCAATCAATCAATCACTTCCTGTATGTTATTCAATCAATCAATCAATCAATCACTTCCTGTATGTTATTCAATCAATCAATCACTTCCTGTATGTTATTCAATCAATCAATCAATCACTTCCTGTATGTTATTCAATCAACCAATCAATCACTTCCTGTATGTTATTCAATCAATCAATCAATCACTTCCTGTATGTTATTCAATCAACCAATCAATCACTTCCTGTATGTTATTCAATCAATCAATCAATCACTTCCTGTATGTTATTCAATCAATCAATCACTTCCTGTATGTTATTCAATCAATCAATCAATCACTTCCTGTATGTTATTCAATCAATCAATCAATCAATCACTTCCTGTATGTTAAGGCTCTTCAACATCATCCAGTTCACTAGGTTCAGTGTTGTCAAGTAAAAGCTCATCAATATACTTGGTATTACTCCCACCACCATTGATTTTCCCCTCCTGTCATATCCACACACTCTCTAGCAGACTGACTTTTAATCTTGCCATACTTGGATTTATCTGGCTTGACTACCTTCTTGGCTTGTGATGCATTTGTACTTCAGATTCTAACAAATTTGTAGGATATGCAAGCGACACAATGGAACGTGTTGAAGATCTTGTTCTGGGCCTTTTCAAAGAAAGGCAGGAAGACCTTTCTCTACTTTTGGCTTCCTCTGTCTCCAACATTTAGCACTTCTATCCATCAACTCCCCTTTCCTTCTTTGTGAAGGAACATTTCATTGTCTTCTCACATAATGCTCTGAAATAAAGAAATGACTCTTTTAATAAGAACATTAAATTTCACAGACTTTGCACAAAATTCTAGACTACCACCCTAGTTTATGCAGAAGAATGGTCATACTGCCAGTTGACACTGAGAAATAGTACTCTGAGGTATCTGGTCAGCACTGTGTTTTTACCTAATAGTTTTATATAAGTGGTTTAAAGGGATAATCCAGAGTAAAAACAAGGTTTATTGTTTAGATCGAATGTAACCATGAATTAGTAATGAAGGACCCCCCCACCCACCAAAAAAAAACACATCTGAATGCCTATG